ACCTCCCCCCTCCCCCCGGGGTTGGGGGGGCCGGAGCAGAGAGCACCCAGCCCGGGAGGTGGATGAATGTGGGAGAAAATGGAGACCAAGACGATCGTGTACGACTTGGACACATCAGGGGGGCTGATGGAGGTAAGAGTGGCCCTCCTCATCCCCTTCCCCCAGCGCCGGGAGGGAACCTCCGCCCTCCGCCCCACAAAGCCGGTCCTAAACTCGAAGCGCCCAGAGGACCGAGGGAGGGGGATTCTTCCTCACTTAGCCTCTCCCTCCCCTCTTTGCAATTTAGGGGGCTGAGCTCAGCCTCCGAGGACGTTTGCAGCAGTTTCACCTACCCGCCGCCCTCGATTCGCTCTCCCCAGGCGCCAGCCCACTCCATCTCGTTGCACCGGCAGGCCTCCCCACCCCCTTCTTGTTGGCCCCTTTGTGCTTCCCCCAGCACGTCCGGGTACCGGGCTTCGGGCCTCTCCAGAGCCAGGCTTTGGAGTCCCCCACTGTCCATACAAGGAAGTGGCAAGAAGGGAACCGCGCACCCTCTTCCCATCCCCCTACCCTTGATCCTCCCCATTTGGAAGAAGCTGTTCTCGTTGTTGTGCTGCAGGAACGCGGTTAGGGTGGGCTCCCCCTGGTTCCGGGGGCTGAGAGGTTCTGGGAGCAGCCTGGATGGGAGGAAGAAGGACAAAAGGGGGGAGAGGGGTGGGTGACGGAGAAGCCGCGCCGGGGGGGCAACGGACCGCCCGGGAGCTCCGAGTGTGCACACACGCCGTTTGTATGTGTGTGCAGCAAATCCAAGCTCTGCTGGCCCCCCCCAAGACGGACGAGGCAGAAAAGCGGAGTCGGAAGCCTGAGAAGGAGCCCCGGAGAAGCGGCAGGGCCACCAACCACGACAGCTGCGATAGCTGCAAGGAAGGTGGAGATCTCCTGTGCTGCGACCACTGCCCGGCTGCCTTCCACCTCCAGTGCTGGTAAGGTCCGGGGACCCTTCTCTGCGCATTCCTTCACCTGGCCTGCCCCTGCCTGCCGAAATAACGGGCGCTTGCAGCCGCTAGCTGACTTTCTGCAGCTGCCCGGGCGAGCACCTCCCCGCCCCCAGGTGTCCGCCGGGTTCTGGCAGTTTAGGGGGGAGGAGCAGCGGTGGGTCCGGACCCCGAGGTGGGGGTTGGGAGGAGTGAAGAGAACCCCATATGGGATTGGAAGTCGCTGGGGAGCCGGGACAGAGCCGGCCGGGGACAGCCGGCAGTGGCGGGGGAGGAAGGGGAGGAGCTCCGGGCCCAGTGCCGCTTGCCTGCCCGCGCGCCTGCTGCCCTCGGGGCTCCTGCCCGGCCGGGCTCTCCTTGGGGTGGGTGCGTAGAGCCCTCGGCCACCTGAATTGCAGTGGTCCAGACCCCGGCAACCGGGCGCTTGTGGCTGTAGAAGAAATCATGGAGGGTGTCTCTCGAGTCCGCCTCTTCTTTGCCTCTCTGTTTACAATATGGCGACCTGCCTTTAAATTATATTTTTATTCTCAGCGCCATTTTGGCTGCATATATGATTTGCAAACGTCTCCCGGGGAACGGTGGGGACAGCCCCCGAGTTCTTTCTGCAGAAGCTCCTCAGGGGCCCAGGCTGGGATCTCGCCGCTTTGGTCCCCTTTTTCTACCTCCGCTTGCCCCCTGTTGCCTCTCAGAGCTGCCTTCCTTCCTCCTCCCTCTTCCCTCCTCCCTCCCGGCGCCACTGCCTCTTAGGAAATCGGGCCGGGTTAGACAATTAAAATTGCCCTTGGGCGCCGATTTCATTTCTCCGCTCCGGATCGGCGAGCCCTTCGCTGCAAAATTCTTTGCTGCCAGGGGGAGGATTGTGTGCGGTGGCATTGGAAAGGCATTTTTAAGGAACTGAGAGCTGGAAAGCCGTACGCTTTTTTCTCCCTTACTGGACGCAAGGGGAGGGGAGAAACCGAACCGAGAGGGAGGGACGTGGGTTGATCGCCCGCTGCGTGATCCTCCTCAGCGGCTCAGCCCAGAACAATCCGGCAAAGAAGAGTTTAAACTCCATCTTCTGCCGGCAGAAATCACCTCTGCCCTCCACAAAAATCCCACATCTGCGGCAGCAAACCCAGATTTCGTCTTGTTCTACTGGGTCTCGTTCTGTTGTTCTGCAACAGTTGACTGAGGCAGAGGTTTGAGAGAGGAGCCAGTCGGGAGAAAGGAAGAGGGGGCTGTTTCTGTGTTCCCACCAGTTTTTTGATGTTGCCTTTTTTAGCCCTCTGTTTTTGTTTTTGTTGTTTTTTTAATGTGAAATTTCACCGAAGGTCTCTTAACAGTTCCATTCACGTTCCATCGCTCGGTTTGCGGAGTTGTGTCTACTATATATTTGTACTAATTGCAGGTTTGGGAACACTTACTAGACAGATGACTGATACTGAGCAAATTAAGTCTGTGGTCAGAAGTTATGTAGGAAGCTCGCATTACCATTCCCAAGATACTTTTGCCCAGGAGGGCACCCCATCCTAGCTTGTAAAATTGCAGGGACAAAAATGATTATCCTAGAGGGAGTTTTGCTGCTGACTTTAAAATTTTTATTATGAAGTGACTAAGGATCTGTGGTTTTTAGCCTTTACTTCCTATAAGGTGTAATCCACCTGGAGAAAATATCTCTGGTCACATTTCCTTTGCTGTTCTTAGGAGAAATTTGTGCCTGAATATACGTTGTGTTGCTTACCAGTTATTCCCAGTTGCTTACATTTTTTTTTTTAATGTGTTTGTTTGGTATGTATACCAGGACTGAGTTGTAGACTTCTTGATTTAAAACGTGGGCTTACATCCTACCCTAGGATGAACTTGGTGTTAACCATGGTGGTTGACATGCATGTTGAGTGAGAATTTGATAAGCTCATTTATTTGATAAAGCTGCAATTGTTTATTAGAAACTTCAGGCATGGGAAAAGTGTGCTGTCTGGTTTGCCTGCGATTGGGCTTTTAAACTCTAAAACCTAACCACTGAATTTTTTAATTAGGTGAGTCTAAAGTCTTATCAAGTTGTAACAATTAACAGTTTGCACTTTAGATGAAAGGAGAGAGAAGGAGGGACTCTTTAGCTGTTGGTGAGATTCAGACTTGCCTAGACTGTGCATTTCATTGAATTTTATTTTATTTTATTTTTTTGAGACATTGAATAGGAACTAGTAATCAGAGATTTGTGAATAGTAGTAAATGAAGTAGTGCTTGTTTAACATCTCCAATTCTCCCTTTGAAAATGTCGGTACTGAATGTACCATTGACTTATCTGAGTTGTTATCTAAATCACAAAGCATTGTAGATATTGGTGCAAAGGCAGGAAGTCTTTTAAGTAGGAATTCCCTAGACGAATTTCATTTAGTGAGGCTTATCCCACTTTTCTGCGTCTGAAGCCACACTCTTTCCACCAAGAGTCAAGTATTTTACTTTTTTTTTTCTGAGGCAGGAGTCTTCACTTTGTCACCCAGGCTGGAGTGCAGTGGTGCGATCTCGGCTCATTGCAACCTCCACCTCCCAGGTTCAACAGATTCTTCTGCCTCAGCCTCCTGAGTAGCTGGGATTACAGGTGCCTGCCACCATACCCAGCTAATTTTTGTATTTTTAGTAGAGACGGGGTTTCACCACGTTGGCCAGGCTGGAGAGTGAAGTATTTTATTAACTCAACCAGAGTAGTTAGATCAAGTAGTTAATGTCTCAGAACATTTTTATACTTGAATGTGTTTTCATGAATTTGTCCCCGCCGGGTGCAGTGGCTCACGCCTGTAATCCCAGCACTTTGGGAGGCTGAGGTGAGTGGATCACGAGGTCAGGAGTTCGAGACCAGCCTGGCCAACATAGTGAAACCCCATCTCTACAAAACATACAAAATTAGCCTGGTGTGGTGGCATGAGCCTGTAGTCCCAGCTACTCGGGAGGCTGAGGCAGGAGAATTGCTTGAAACCAGGAGGCGGAGGTTGCAGTGAGCCGAGATCACACCACTGCACTCCAGCCTGGATGACAGAGTGAGACTCCATCTCAGGGAAAAAAAAAAAATTGTCCTCTCACTGCTTACTTGTATCACATAAGGGTAAGTTTATAGTTCCTTTTGCTTCCCTTTTAAATTGACTAAGACTGAATTACTTAGGTAGGCAAGATAATGATAATTTTCCTTATGTACAGAAACTACAAGAGTAAGGTTGAAGCTGAGTATGGTGGTTCATGCCTGTAATCCCAGCACTTAAAGGGGCCAAGGTGGGAGGACCTCCTGAGGCCAGGAGTTCAAGACCAGTCTGGGCAACATAGCGAGACTCCATTTCTACAAAATTTAAAGAAAAAGTGAAGTTTAAATTTTGCAAATGCTGTAGGTATTAATTGCAGTGCTGCTGTGGTTCTCCATCCAAAGCTTTGTGGGATAAGTCTTTTTTCAGTCTCTAGTATTCCTTGCCAGTCTGCCTCACTGTGAACGGAATCCAGTGCAGTGTTCCAGAAGTGGTTCTAGACAAACTTTACCTCCTGGGCTTAGTGACATAGCTATAAACCACAGGGGATCTTTCTAAGATAAATAGTAAGGAAATGACTAGTCAAATAAGCTGTTTTAATTGTTCTGTGTTTTCTCAGGAGCTAGTGCTTTGTATGAGGCACATCATCTCTTCCCAGTTAGACTGGGAGCCCTATTTCTGGATTTTCTGTAATGATTCTCTGGGTGAAGGAATTAATTGTCTTGTGCTCAGTACCATGACTTCACCAAAGAATTAAACTTGAAGAACTGATGTCTTTGTTTTTTATTAAGTGATAGTATAATCACTTTATCCAAGTTTAACTGGTTTATCAGTTATTCAGTGTGATAGTAGGAGTTACTAAACCTGTCCCTAGAGAATTGGAAAGAGATGTCTGTATGGTTTTTTTTGTTTTTGTTTTTGCTTTTTTGAAACTGAATCTTGCTTTGTTGCCCAGGCTGGAGTGTAGTAGCGCGATCAGCTCACTGCAGTCTCTGCCTCTCAGGCTCAAGCAATTCTCCTTTCTCAACCTCCTGAGCAGCTGGGATTACAGGTGCATGCCACCAGGCCTGGCTAATTTTTTTGTATTTTTGGTAGAGACAGGGTTTCACCATGTTGGTCAGGCTGGTCTCGAACCTCGTGATTTGCCCACCTCGGCTTCCCAAAGAGCTGGGATTACAGGCGTGAGCCACCACACCCGGCCTTGGAAAGAGATATGTTTTTAAGTGTCCCTTGGTGAACCTGACTTCATCATAATTATCATGCCATGAGTTGAGCTTTCTGAAAGTTCTGGTCACCGAACTGATCCCAAAAAATCTGTTAAAAATTAGAATAACCAGTTCAGCTTTAGTTGCCACTGACCCATCTTTCTGTTTGAGATCAGTAGGATTGTTGATTGTTGTCACTGACAGAGTGAATACCATGGGGCATCAGTAATCAGGATGATAAAACTGGCTGGTTTCCTGTGATTGCCTTCTCATGGCATTTTGCTCCAAACAGACTGAGGGACCAAAATGGTCTGATTGAGAAGTGCATCTACCTCAGCAGACCTCAGCATGGTCCCTTCCTGTCAGACAGATTTCTGTAGCATTTGCCTCCGCATGTTATATTTGGAATTGTTGGCCAGCTTTCCTCTCTCTGGTGTTGGCAGCGAGATCCAAAATGAGGTTTTCGAAGAATGAGAGTAAAAAGGTCTCTGTGCACAGGCAAAACTAAGCTCAGCTTGGAGTTTTGCATATTTTCAGTGAGTCGTAACAAAGGTTTCACACATAGAATAGAAAACTGCCTTGCAGAAAATGTTTGATGTTTGAAGTGGGGTTGTTTGTTTGTTTGTTTTTGGAGACAGGGTCTCCAAAGCTTGATCCTAGCTCCCTGCAGCCTCAAACTCTGGGCTCAAGTGATCCTCACACCTAAGCCTCCCAAGTAGCTGGGACCACAGGAATGTTCCACCATGCTGGGCTAATTTTTTTAGTTTTTTTGTAGAAACAGGGTCTCACT